GGGGGGGGGGGGGGGGGGGGGGGGGGGGGGGGGGGGGGTGGGGGGGGGGGGGGGGGGGGGGGGGATGGGATGGGGACAGGGATGGGGAATGGAAGAGGATGAGAAAAGATAAAGTTGAGGATGGGATGGGATTAAGATGGGATGGAGGTAGGATATGGATGGAGACAGAAAGGGAATGGGTCCGTATACCAGGGACAAGGTGTGGATGGAAGCAGGGGAGGCAAGAATAGGAATGGCAATGGGGACAGGGCTGGGGCTGGCGCCCTCCTGACCTTGGCCCTGGAGGTGCTGATGTTCTCCATGTTCTCGATGCTGCTGACGCAGTTGTTGGGGACCTTGCTGCAGGCCAGGCGGATGTAATCCCAAAACCCGCGCTGCCCATCGGAGCTGAACCAGCTGACGGGGCCTGCGGGCACCCAGGGGCTGCGGTCGGGGGCTGCTGTGCTGGCAAAGCCCCTGACAGAGCCTGGACACACTCCCTGGTGCCACCGTGGGCATCCCCACCCGCCGTGGGGCACAGGGGTGGGGACAGGGACGCCCCCCGTTACCTTTGAAGCGGTGGCTGAGGATCTGCTCGAGGATGGCGGCGAAGTTGACGAACTCCTCGGAGGAGTCATCGATGGGATCCGCCGTGTACTTCTCCAGGAGGGTCTTCACCGAGAACCTGGCGAGGGTTTGGGCGTCACAGGGCGGGAGGGGACAGATCCCCCCCACCCCTCACCCACCACCTGGCACAGGCCGGGTTTCAGCGCCGGAGCAAAACGCTTTTCCAGCCGTTGGCTCCCGCTCCCGGCAGCGGGAAGAGGGCGGCGGGCTGGGCTGTGGCTCGCTGACCCCCCGTGTCCCCACGTCCCCGGGGACCCCGAGGGGCGGCCGCCGCTCCCCGCTGAGCAAGTGGCCAGGAAGGGCGAACAAAGGCCCCTTCCTCCCCGGCCGTGCGCGGGCGGTGATGGCTTCCCCTTCCGCCCGGCCGCTCGTGCTCCCAGCACAGCCATGCCGAGGACACGGCGCCCGCCGAGCCCGGCACGGGGCAGGTGTTGGCTCGGCGGGGATCCCCCCCGTCCGTGGGTCACAGCTGGCTGGGGATCCCTCTGACGGCGGGTGGAAGGTGCCTCGTCGTGACAGAGGGGTGTGGACCTGCCTTGTGCCGTGGTGAGGAAATTCAGGGGGTCTGGCGGTGCCCTGTGCCATGGCGAGGAGCCCTGGAGGTCCCCAGGGCATGACAGTGGGGTTTGGAGGTGCCCCTGTGCTGTGGTGAGGAGATCCAGGGGGTCTGGAGGTGCCTTGTGCCATGGTGATAAGAAACAGGGGGTTCCTATGTTATGGCAGCAGGGTCTGGAGCTGCCCTGTGCCAAGGTGATGAGAAACGGGGGGTCCCTGTGTCATGACAGTGGGGTCTGGAGGTGCCCTGTGCCATGGTGAGGAAACCCAGGGGTTCCCTGTGTCATGACAGGGGGGTCTGGAGGTGCCCTGTGCCATGGTGAGGAAACCCAGGGGTTCCCTGTGTCATGACAGGGGGGTCTGGAGGTGCCTTGTGCCATGGTGAGGAAACCCAAGGGTTCCCTGTGTCATGACAGGAGGGTCTAGAGCTGCCCCTGTGCCACGGTGAGGAAATTCAGGGGGTCTGGAGGTGCCCTGTGCCATGGCGAGGAGATCCAGGGGCTCCCCCTGTCATGACGGGGGGTTTGGAGGTGCCTTTTGCCACGGCAAGGAAATCCAGAGGGTCCCCATGTCGTGATGGGGGTCGGAGGTGCCCTGTGCCATGGCGAGGAGATCCAGGGGCTCCCCCTGTCATGATGGGGGGTTTGGAGGTGCCTTTTGCCACGGCAAGGAAATCCAGAGGGTCCCCATGTCGTGATGGGGGTCGGAGGTGCCCTGTGCCATGGCGAGGAGATCCAGGGGCTCCCCCTGTCATGACGGGGGGTTTGGAGGTGCCTTTTGCCATGGCAAGGAAATCCAGAGGGTCCCCATGTCGTGATGGGGGTCGGAGGTGCCCTGTACCATGGGGAGGAGCCCAACACCAGGCCCTGGGGGTCCCTGCCAGCCTGCCCCTGGCCTTGGTGCCCCCCACAGCCCCCACAGCCCTAGGCCAGGCTCCAGCACT